AACCGTGTTATTGAGCTTAGTGAAGTCATGAAATAAATACATAACTAAATTAAATTTTTAAATCAAGTTTTGCCACTTGATGAACTCAAATCAAAATCAAGGTTCTATAGTTTCCTTCATTTTGCTGCCTTTTAGGTGACACTGACTTACCCACACACTGGTTCCACTGGTAGTGCTGTACATAGCCCTGAGGACAGCCGCAGCGGTAACCTCCCAACATGTTCTGACAGCCATGCTGACAACGGTGGTTATTGCTACACTCATCCACATCTGAGAATACAAAAGATAACAACAACAACTTTACTTTGGATAACTCAACCTAAGTCCAGATATAAATACAGAGCTTACAGAGAAAATGTATACATAAATGGATGGATTGATAGTTTGGTAGGTGGATTTAAGACAAGAAAGAACCACAACCCAAAGTACGACTCATTCAACCCTTAGTTTTCAAAAAGCTTAAGCTTAAATATTTCCTTCAAAACCCATAAAGGACTCATCTTCTAAAGCTGAAAGGTTAAATGAAATTCTGTTTAATTCAATTCATTTGAAAAATACTTGTGTGGTTATAACTCTTATAGTTGTTATAGATTGTATCAGCTGTAGGCAGGAGGGACTGAAGACACTATAGTTGTTCAACAGTTTTCAGAAGAGGATGCTCACTGTGGTTCATAATGTTCTTCATTTTATTAATTTCATGGTTTAATATTATATTTTATTATATTATACATTATAATTGTCCAGATGTTCTTAAGGAGTTGTAGAACAGAACTGTCCTTCTTAAGCCATTTGCTCAATTGCTGCTACCACAACAGGTGATAGAAAACAATATAGAACTCTCCACCACAGACTTATAAAAGATATGAGGTATTTTCCTCCAAACACTGAAGAACCAAAGCTTCCTCAAGAAAAATGTAGATATATTTATACTCTGTAACTCACCTTCACACTCAAAGCCAGTATTGTCCAGAGAGAAACCTTTAGAGCATTCACAATTGAAGCTACCAGGTGTGTTTACGCAGGAAGCGCGGGAACCACAAACACTGTTTTGGGCCGCACACTCATTGTTGTCTACAACAAAAAAAATGCATGCTTAGAAAATGTATTTCAGTTGTAAATGTTTTTTTTTTGTGTAAATTAATTGGCATGAAACAACAAGATCCTGAATGTAATTGGTCATGAACTTACCAATGCAGGCAGTTTGATGCTGAATAAAGCCAGGAGGACACTTGCAGTTGAAGCCTCCAATGGTGTTAACACAGAGGAACTGGCAGTTGTGTTGCTTTGTTGAACATTCATCCAGATCTTAATGCATGAAAAATAAAGTGTGAAAACTGAATGAGTTTAAAACATGCAGCAAATAAGACTAGCAGTAGAGCAATATCTATGGGTTAAATAGGTTAAATATCAATGATCAGGTTTTTTTTTGCAAAGGGGCCAACAGAATTCTTAAGGAAGTCAAATTACCAGCAATTAATTATAGACATTGGTTCATTCACCTTTGCAGGTCTTTCCATCTGGTTGTAGGCTGTATCCTCTGGGACAGGAGCACAAGTAGCTGCCTTCCGTATTTTTACACAGGAAGTTGCATGGCTTCGGTGACAAGGAGCATTCATCCAAATCTGAAATAAGCAGCAAAGGTACATGAAGAAGAATATAGGTGAAATCCATATTGTTTAAACCAGTTACAAGTTGGGATGGAAATAAAGCAGAAGCCTTACCAACACATGAGGTGCTGGTGAAGTCAGCTTTGTAGCCTACATTACAGTGGCAGCGGAAGGATCCTATGGAGTTGATGCACTGCCCATTCTTGCACAGATCTGGCAACACCTGGCATTCATTGATGTCTGAAACAATTAAAATGTACTTTATATAGATCTGCAAATGACAGAGCCACAAAATTGCACCACAAAGATGCTCACATGTTAGTTTTTTAAAGTCCAAGTCAACCCTTCAAATTTTGAGGGGTAAGTTGAAGTTTTAAATCTGAGGTAATTAGAGTTTAAGTCACTCTAATGACAGAAAAATATGACATTCTGTGCACCTATAACAATGCAGAAATACAAACCTGTACTGTCGGGATAAAATCTTTCATTATTTAAACATTTATTAACGATATGTTTCAATCTTTTAACATTTATCCAAACATGCAAATCTGCTCAAGACTGCAAAAAATATATATAATTTGATATTTGATCAAGAGTAATAATTAACCCTTTAAAAAGATAAACAGGCATTAAACTTTTTAAAAAACTGCTAAAGTTGAATTTCAGAATAAATCAAAGTGCTTCTACATCCATATAATTACAAAGTTACAAGCTGTTAATCCCTATTTTCTTATTTTTCCTCCCCTTATTCTACTTTGCTTTAATAGGGTTTTAGAGACTATTCCTCTCCTCACCCTAAGCTGGAGAACACTTTATAACATTGGGAAGTTAATGTTGTAAAGATTTTGTTCTTTAATCCTCAATCAAAACAGTAAAAACTACAAAGCGTCTGATCTTTAAAGAATTTAAATTAGTAACAACACACTGTGAAGGCAAAGAGAAAATTGCACATACAATAAGTGGGTAGTTTTATGGTGATCTACAAAGATTAGAGGTGCAAATTTTAAGACATCTCAACAGTATTTGTCCCCGTCATGATGTGTTCTACTGGCATTTTGAGATTGGTTATTTATTATCATTAGGAAAATAATTAAAAAGTGTGCTGTTTTTCTTGCCTTGTTTTTACCAGTACTGGATAAGTAGTTTTAAAGAACGGGACAATTACATTTCAGAAGACATTTTTAGTAAATGTTTTTCTGCATTAAATGAGCACATTGTGGACCTCCAATTAGCAACACAATTTCGCTAGCAAAGTGGCTATGTATTTTATAACACATATATTACAAATCTTTAAGTAGTATTAATGTTAATTGATATTTCAGTGTGACAGAGTAGACATATTAAGCTTGAAAAATATACAAGGAATAAAATGAAATATAATCATTATATAATTCATCTTTGATAAAGGAGATGGTATTCATTGCAAACAACACTAAACATATAAATACAGCTACAAAAAAAAAGAAGCATATTCTGTAGTTCCTCTAAATGTGGTTCTAAAAAGTATGGGTTGAGGGTGACTTTATTATAACTGCAGACAACACTTTTTATCAATTTGTATTTGCAAACCTTCTCAAAAATAGAAAATTATGTGCACACATAAAATCCACACACAAATAATTTAGCGTTATGAAGAAATTATTTCAATCTTTGAGACAGGAGGGGGTTTTCTTTTGATTCAGGTTTCCATCAGTTCATTAATATATGGTGAGGGAATATAAACACTTGTTTCTCACCTCTACCATCTGTGGTGTAGCCAGGTCCAAGAGGACACATCTTCTTGTACTGTACGGTGCCTGGTAGGGGGCACAGCTCACACCCTGGCCCCCAACCACGACCCGCGTTGCAGCAACATTCAGACTTGGTCACACTGTTCCTGTTGGTTGACAACTGCTGGCACATTGTCTGCAGGACCTCTGTGTAACACAAGCCCTTTCTGTTGTCTAAAAGGAAAGAGGATCAAATGTTTGGTTATGGTCATGCATATGAGGATGATATATACGAAAGTAAGGAGTATCAGCGGTTACAGAGGTCATAATAAGGAACAAATGAAATAAGAGGTTATTTATTTCAAATTAAACTTAAAAAATTTGGTTATGTCAGCAATGAGATTAAAACATTCGGAGAAAGACTAATTAGGTCTTACCAATACATTCAGTTCCAGTTGAGCTTGGCTCAAAGCCAGCATTACACTCGCAGCGGTAGCTTCCAACTGTGTTGATGCAGCGACCGTTCTTACAGATTCCAGGTTTGGCACGACACTCATTCAAGTCTGCAACAGGAAGAAGGGGAGAATAGAAGAGTGAAAATGGATGGATGGATGGATGGATGGATGGATGGATGGATGGATGGATGGATGGAATTGAATCGATGGAAAGACAAAGTGTCTCATCCAAGGGTGGATTAATCGATTGATGCATCAATGAAGACATTGAAAGACAGAAGTTGTTGAATGTATGTATGAAACTACATAATAGTTTGACTTTTTTTTAAAGGTATTAGTAAGTAATATTTAAACAAATAACATCAGTGTTTCATTAAAAAAACTTTGCCTTAAATCTCAAGGCCAGGGAATATTTTTCATGCATTACCTGATTTTGTAAACACAAAATATTCAATCCATGTCCATATTTTTCCACACTTTGTAGGAGCCATCATTTTTCCTTATTTTGTGGGCACCAGTGCCCATTATTTGAGTAATGCTAATGCTAATTAGCCATGTCAAGGACTAAGGGCTTCGTACATTGGTTATTTGCTTTTACACCTGAGCCACCACAGCATCTCTATGAATCCTGTAATTTAATAACTCGAGCATTTCTACTAACCCATGCATCCCTCTCCATCTGGTCGCCGCTGCATGCCAGGAGGGCAGATACACATGAAGGTTCCAATCAGATTCTTGCAAGTCATGCCTTTGGAGTCGCAGTCATCCAATCCCTCTGAACACTCATCCTGATCTGTTGAGGAATGATAAATACATGACAACTGTTTAAAAGTACTTATACATTATTATAGCATACAAAGAGATCAGAACAGTGAAGAAAAATTAAAAGTAAGTGAATCGTCCCTGATCTGTTGTGCTCTCTTACCTCTACACATGCGCTGGTCATCTCTCAGCACGTACCCAGCAGGACACATACACTCATAGGACCCAAACGTGTTGACACAACGGAAAGCACAAAGAAGGGGATTCTGGGAGCACTCATTGATGTCTTGAACCAATAAGAAACATACAGTTATTACCAATGATTAACTGCCATGTAATCCTATCAAGTGTTTATACAAAAGGATTCACAAACCCTCGCAAGTCATCATGGATCCTGGTTCAAAGCCCTCATGACACGAACACTCGAAGCCTCCAACTACATTGGTACAGGTTCCATTACCACAGGGGTTTCCAACGGAGCACTCATCTGTGTCTGAAGGAGAGGAAACACAGCAGCAAAAACAGTCAGTCAATGCAAATAAATGAAAAGTTATGGTACACTGTTGATTATACACTGATCACTGACCAGGGAAAATCTACAGTCTAATTTAAGTAAAGTAAAAATCAGTGTCAGGACTCATTTTTAAGATGAAAATCATTGGGCCATCCTTTATTTATTTATAAACTGCATTTCTGTACTCTAAGTAATAAACAATTACAAAAGGTTTTACACCAAAGATGAAAACAAAAAATGACCGACATCTAGAACTCTTACCAACACAGTTGACTCCAGTGTAATCCAGGATGTATCCAAAGGGGCATTCACATCTGAAAGAGCCATCTGTATTGATGCATATTCCATTCTTGCAGATTCCAGGATTATCCAAACACTCATTCATATCTGCAGATACATAGAAAAAAGTAGGTCCTTTAAATAATTCTGTATTTAATATTTTTTTTAATTAGGTCATCAGATCACAGTTGCAGCACTCACCCTCTCGAGTGTCACCCGGTCCAGGCAGAGCTCCAAAGCCGTAGGGGCATAAGGTGTTGAAGGCAGCTGGTAAACCATCAACCAAATGTCAACTTGATACTGCCCACAAAGGAATGTGCATGCGTGAAAAAGTGAGTGTGTCTGTGTTACAAACCATCAGTTTCTCGTGGGCACAGCTCACAGGGAAGTCCCCAGCCCTCTCCGGGCATCTTGCTGCAGCAACACTTGGCCTTGGTGGTGTTGAATGCTTTAGGGACTGTGCATTTTCCTGCTTCGAAGTTGGTGAAACAGAAGCTTTCTCTGGTGTCTACAATAAAAAAAAAGAAACTCCTGTTCTTTTTTACTGGATACACAAAGACAAATATGGTTAAACTATGATAATCTTCAGCATTATAGTGTCTCTTACCGTAGCACCGTCGTTTGTTGTCTGAGAGAACAAAGCCTGGCTGACAGGTGCACTTGAAGCTGCCTGGGGTATTGGTGCAGGTGCCAAACAGGCAGATGTTGGGCTCTGCTTCACATTCATTGATATCTGAGAAGATCGTGTACATACATAAGTTGGGTATAAAAATATGAGTCAAGATTTAAGTGCCTTAAATAGACTGATTTAATATCTAACAGCATAAGATAAATCTTAAAAACATAACAGAAAAGTTAGAAACAGCCTATCTATTGTTTTTAAAGGCAGATAAATTCACTTTTCTGATAAAAAAAAAAGTGTGGTCCACAAAAACGTACAAATGCACTAATGTGTAAGAAAAATTATTTATAGTTTTGGACAACAGAAGGGAAGGTGTGGTCTTGCAAAAAAAACGTACTTAATGATACATGTGTGAACGCTTGGTGGTATAATATGAAATGGAAGGGGTGAGACCTATAACATTTTATAAAGATCCCCCATAAAGAAAATGTGGGTGGAAATAAAGAGAGAGACAAAGACACAATACTTTGTGCAAATGTAGCCAGAGAACAGCCAGACAACCAAGGACTCCAAGGTTTTTAAAACTTTTCAAAAAAATTGTTCTTTGCATGTAACGTTTGTAAGGAAATAAATCTACAAATGGCTGTGAATCCCTTATAAATCATAATAAATACAAAAAAATCTACTAAAATGAAATAATGTTTTTGCACATTAGTTGCCAATAATGTGCAAAAACTAACAGTAGAGTTTAAATGGTGGGAGAGAAAATGTCTTTAGAGAATATATTTTGATCCCTTCATTGCCATTATACAATTAGCAACCTGAGTGAAACATCCACTGATTCCTTTGTTAAATGATGAGAACTTTATTTAACTTTGCCTCCTTCAGGAGAAGCATGTTTGACAAGTCAATAACTGGATGCAATCAAATGGTTTTTACTGACCAGTATGACAGCCTTGTCTCTGTAAACTGCCTTGAGATTACTTGTGTTGTAAACTGGCACTATATACATAAACTGATTTGAATAAAAAAAAAAAAAATGAAATAGGCTACTCTCGTAAAACAGGGAGGACCACCTGTCACTTTGGTAAAACAGTCTGTCAGAGTTTTTTGGAGCCAACAGAACTGGAGAGCATTTGACTGCAGCTTTAGTCCAATTGTACATCATCATTTGAATTTCTAGGGCATGTGTAGGGTTAGCTTAATGTGAGCTTTTGGGAACAAATACCTGTTGTTGCAACTAATTATCAACTGACAGACAAGAACAGCCTAAATGTGCTTTTAAATCCCAGAATATGGTGTCTGCCTATTAGGTATCTAAATCTTTCCTGAAATTGTGGTCCTTATTTAAAAAATGAAAAACAAATGTATTAACTTATTCCAATTTAAATACCATGCTGAATTATCACTACTTTAGTTTTGCATTCCCGTTGAACCAATGACCCAGTGCTGTGTCAGATAATGCTATCATCCTCTGACAATTTTTTTGTAATTTCTTTTTAAGTTTTTCTTGATTAAATAAATAAAATATCATATAAATTAGCTTTTTCTTTGCATGCAGGACATCTTTTTATTACTGTTGCTTTAAGGTTGCACTAAATGCTTATATATATGTATATCAAATATTATTGAAAATTATTTAGGTAGTAAAATCATATACAATGCAAACAGAACATTTAAAATATATTAAAATGTTTTTCTTTTACCTAAACACTGGTCGTTTTGCACCTCGTAACCCGGAGGGCAAATACATCTGAAGGATCCATCCAGGTTTTGGCAGGTTCCCGGGGAGCATGTTCCCGGCAGACTAATGCACTCATTAATATCTGTGGAGAAATATCAGAATTATATATTAATATGTCAAACATTCAAAGGGACTCCTAATAGTTTCCATCCATCCATCCATCCATCCATCCATCCATGCATCCATGCATCCATCCATCCATCCATCCATCCATCCATCCATCCATCCATCCATCCATCCATCCATCCATCCATCTCTTGTTACTTACCAATGCAATTCTTTCCATCAGGGCTGTTTTCATAACCCTCTTGGCACAAGCATTGAAAGGAGCCGAGCCCGTTAACGCATTGTCCATTCCTGCACACTTGGCCCTGCAGGGCAAAGCACTCATCTATGTCTGTGAAGAAAATATAACCAAGCTTAGGATTAACTGCAAAATGAAAATCATCATCTCTAAAATATAGATCTTTAACCATTTTACCTTGAATTAAATCATTTTTATAAAGATCAGGAGTACAAATTGTTACCGGCGTCTACCCTCAAATAGCCTTCTTATACTGCGTAGTATTTAAAATCTTATAAGACTATTCCATAACAAACACTGCGACATGGAGTTAATAATATCTGGTACGATGTCAAGTTTGAAATGTGCACATTTTGTGATCATCGTTTAAATCGCCTACCAAAGCACAATTAAAAACAACTTCATTAGTTTGCTCCATGTCAGCATATGCCATCCATTCATGCGGTAGAGATAGGGAAACAAAACTAAAAAACACCATCATAGTTGGGGAAAGGAGAGTAGCTTGGAATCCTTTTTAATAGAGGTGAAGGTATGTTGTAACATCTCACAATAATTAAAGCTCTCACTGGTTGTAACTGGCATGCAAACATATGCAAAGAAGATGAAGATGCATCTGTTTGCAGTATGGGTTGTGTAAGTGTGCTCGATTAGACAGCTTTGTCTGACCGGACCAAACAAGACAGGTTATTCCTAACAAAATTACATTCATTAATATAAAATATTAAGTTTTCTCCTTTTCCTCATGCCAAATATGTGACGCTTATATATGTTTTGGCAGTTCCATCATCCAGATTATTCTATATTATTCTATAAGAATAAATGATCTTATACACCCTTTTATCTATTACACACAGTGATACTCAAAATATTTTTCTGTTATGTTTATGAATGTTTCAAAACAGCCGATGTTAAAAGATGGCTTTCATTAGGCTTTTTATTAGTTCTTTGCATCTAAAACAGTTACTGTTATGATATCCCAATTGATATATGATATTCTAGCTACCTGCAAAAAAGCAATCTGAAAATAAACTAAAATTTCTTAAGATGAGTGTATTGTCCTTAATCTGAACACATAAATAAGGTTATCAGCAAATGGAATTAGCATTTTTGCCCTTAAATGAGAACATTAGATGTATGGCACTTGAAAAAATATAAATCTAAATGTAGACCATCTTATTCCACTGAGCAATTGTTTTTACATACCTGCTTAAGAAAGGTACAAATAAACCTATTTCAGGAGCAACTGACTTTAATTTCTTCTCTGCTTTTGTTCATGCTTCTATCCTATAAGGATAATTGAAAATCGTGGAAATAGATCCTTGTTTTTATTTTCTCTCTTTAATGTTTGTGTGGTGAATCTCTAGCAGCAGCTGCATTCCTATTGGTTGATCAGCTGATCTAGGTCTTAGCAGATGTCACACTGAGAGAGCTCATTCTAAATATCAGACAACATCCAATAATTGTCACCGGTTATTTTTCGTCACAGGAGGTTAAAAAAAACGTCCATCCTAGGATCTTTTACACAGTGAGAAGCAAGGCCTCAGATTTAGACACACAACCAAAGATTTTTCCACCATTTTCCTAGAGCATAACAGTGAACAGTTCCTACCCATGCAGTCATTATTGTGCGTGAGTTCAAATCCAGGGAAACAGAGGCAGTTGTAGGATCCCACCGTGTTTTTGCAGGTACCATTTCCGCACGGCTGCCTTTCACATTCATCAATGTCTAAAGGAAGCAAATACATAAAATATATAATTTTATTTTTAAGACGACACTATACAGCACTGTAATCAAATCACCAAGCACTTTAAAACTCCACTCCTTACCCATGCACATGGTCTGATCAGCAGTAGCCTTGAAACCGTTGTGACAGAGACAGCGATAGCTGCCCTGAGTGTCAATGCACTCTCCATGGCTGCAGACATTAGGAATCTCCAGGCACTCATTTCGATCTGCAAAATAAGACACAAAAATATCAGAGTTGCCATATAATCCTTATTAACAAGTTCTGGCCTTAATTTAAAACCAACTTGTCTAAAAAGATCAAGATGACAACATGAGGAAGCATCTTCGAACACTCAGCAGAGAGAGGTGAGCTAATCTTCATAGAGAAGAGCATATGCATAGAGCAGCATGTCTAGCATGAGTGTCAGTTGCTTATTTTCTAATTTTCAATGTCTTAAAGTTGTGAAGTTCCTTCTAATGTACCAGTTTAAGTTTGTCTCTTGGTCACAAAAATCATAAAAAATCATTCTGGGGAATCTAAAGCTGTGCCACCCATTCATTTTAAAAGGGACCTATTTTACTTCCTTTTAAAAAAATTAGGAATGGTCTTCATGAAACCTGCCCATTACATTTTTTGTTGGCTACATTTAATCCCAATGTTGTTCATGTGATTTATTGATTAAAAATGTAATGACAGATTTTAAATAAATACAGCTATGTCTTTGTATGATAAAATTGCTAAATGCTAAAATTTTACTTTGCAAGGGTTGCTAAGTGAGGGAGCAGCTTGGCCTGGGTCACTAGGTGAGACACTAAAAACATTTACTGTCAAACGATCAATGAATTTTTTTTTTTTTAGAATTTGAACTGTTTCTAAAATCACTCAAATGTATAATTGAAGCAAAAGCAAAATCAAAATAGCATGAAAAATAAAAATTATTTTAAAATTGTTCCCTTTGAGACAGACATTTTAAAAAGATACTTTGCGATCTAAAAGAGGAAAGTCTGTAAAATAAATGGCAGCATGTTAACAGTGTTGGGCACGTTACTTTGAAAAAGTAATTAGTTATAGTTACTAGTTACTTCTCCCAAAAAGTAACTGAGATACTAACTGAGATACTCCACAGTAAAAGTAACTAGTTACTAGTAAAAGTAACTATTGCGTTACTTTTGCATTTCTCGCCCCCATAACCCTCACCACCCGGCCCCCACCTTCTTGCCGTGTGTTTCAAAAGCCAGCTGAATAGAGTGGATGACAAAGACAAGGACCTGCAGAGAGTTTTGCATTTATTGAACTCAAAGTAAATGACATCAGGGGGGAACGGTATCTGATGGGCTTCTAAACCCCGTCAGATAGCGTTCCCCCTGCTTAACATGTGGGAAACGGTATCTGATGATCAATTAATTCTGAAATCCTGTGTGTTTGGGTTGTTATAGATACTGCAACATCCATCCATCCATCCATCCAGTTAGATTACTCGTTACTAAAAAAAAAAGTGGTGCTTCAAACATTCTGCAAAAGTTATCAATTTTGTTGAAACTTTTTGTTTTAATAATCACAACAGGCCAAAATCAGCCTATGTTTATTGGTAATCTAAAAAGTATAAGGATGGTCTCAGAGGTTCTGATAGGCAGGACTCACCCAGACAGGCCCCACCGGGCGACAGTTTAAAGCCCTGGGAACACTCGCAGCGGTAGCTGCCTGGAATGTTGATGCAGTTTGCGTTACGCTGGCACAGGTTATCGCCGCTGTTGCACTCATCAATATCTGTGATAGAAGCAGAAAAGAACAAGCAGAAGAAAATAATTACCAGCTTTATCTCTCCCTGTTAAGATGTGGCGGTAGAAGCGTGTACAACAGGCCAAAATAATATTTTAGACTTCTTGAGTTCAGGAAGCTACTCATCGCCTGATTGTTTTGCATGGCATGCTCGTCTTTGAAGGAACATCATTCTTCATAATTGGGGCAAAAATTTACCAGAAGGCTTCTAAACATCCCTTTTAATCCAAATACTAAGTCACTGCAGTTAAAACACCTATTACCTGTGAGTGTGTGTGATATCTGTTCAGTCAAAACAGGAGTTATAGTGTAGTATAGGGAAGAGCTTATAGACAACTCCAATATAATTTAGCTATAGACAGGATTTTAAAATGCAGCACTTTAAAATTAAAACAAAAATATGTTGTTTTTTTTTTGTTGTTTTTTTAATCAAGTGAAATATGATAAGTAAAGTGGCTGTTTAAATATTCATACCCCTCAGGTCAGTATTTAGAGGACGCTTTGGCTAGAATCCCAGTAGTGAGCGTATTTGGACACATTTCAATCTGGCCCATGTTGACACTGTCTTTATGCTCTATTAAGCCTAAATGCCTCTTTTTAAATCCAGACAAAATTTCTCACTTTACTGAGATCTGGGATTTAATTAGGCCACTCCAGGACATTCACAAAATTGTCTTTGAACCCATTCTGTTTCGTTTTTGCAGAATCCTTGTAGTCTCTGTCTTGCTGGCCTTCCAATCCCTTCCAAAATCAATATTTATCTATTCTTCAGTATCGGAGGTGTCAAGTAACAGAGTACAAATACTTTGTTACTTTACTTAAGTAGAAATTTCAGCTATCTATATTTTACCAGAGAAATTATCTTTTTTGACAACTTTTAATTTCTACTCCTTACATTTTTTTTGCAATTATCTCTACTTTATACTCCTTACATAAAAAAATAGACTTGTTAGTTTTATTTAATTTCAGCTCATTTTCATTATGGCCTGTTGGTATTTAAAAAAAATAAAAACCATAAAAATAATTTCTTATTTTGGTGGTTTAATTAATTTCTTTGTGGTTGGACTCAGTACTACAACTTGTTCGCCACTTACCAAAATAAATAGTTTTTCAAGATGATACAAAGTTAAATTTGACCCTATTGCAATTAGTTATAAAACTCAGAAAATGACGTATAAGGAAGTTATCATCCAGAATTGTAGAAAAATTTTTATTTTATAGGGTGGTATCTATTATAAGGTTTAAAGCATCTGTCCTTAACATTTTTTCCAGCATGACTTTTACTTTTATGCTTAAAGTAATTTTAAAAAATTATACTTTTACACTTTTACTTTAGTAAAAGCTCAAATGGATACCCTAACTTCTAAAAAAGTGTTTTAAACAGTAGGGTTTCTACTTAAGTAATAAACATTAATACTTTTGTCACCTGTGCAGTGTTTTTCTTTATCTATGCTACTCTCTCCAATAATGGAGGTGCTGCTGCTGGTTATGTGCAGTAGTTGGTGTCTAATGACTAAAATATGTATTTTGATTGACAGCTCTTGGCTAATTTAAATAAGTTCAGTTCAGCTAAAAAATTTATTTCACTTTACTTCATCATATGTCCGATGTCAGTCATCCTTTTCTAGGCATTCTCTGAATGAACTTTTAGGAGTTCCTCTGTCTTGCATAGGATGCAATCAGATTATTTTTTAAGTTGAGACTGACCTTCACAAATCAGCAGAATGTTGTTGTAGCTGAAGCCCATTGGACATTCACAGCGGAAACTTCCTATCTGGTTGATGCATACTCCATTTGCACAGATACCAGGAATTTCTCTGCACTCATCAATATCTGCAGGAGAAAAACAAAAACAAAAAAACATAATCACTAAATTGTTTTAACCAGTTTCAGAGGTGTTTTAAAAAAGTTGAATGAACAACCGCTGCTGGATTTACAATGACTTACCAATTGGTTTGCCGGTGTGGATGTCAATAATGAAGCCAGGAGACAGGTTACCACACAGTGTCCTGTATTCATCTGGAAGAATCAGCAAAGAGGAAACTTGATAAACACGAATAATGATCCTTATTAAGCTGTGTTCAATCAGCTGATTTGATGCATATTTCTGGGTTTGTGTTGCAGCTCACTGGTGGCAGGGGTAGGACACGGTTCGCATGGCTTATTCCAAGCTTTGCCCACGTTGTAGGCGCAGCAGCACATCTTCTTGGTCATGTTGAACGACAGCTCGTTTTCACACGTGTCATTGAAGTTGCGGTAGCAAACACTCTTCCTCATGTCTGTGTTATGAGGAAAGATAAGAACTTTCTAATACCCTGTAACAGTGTTATAGCAGCAGAGATTTTTGTTTGAGGCAGCATCTACCACTCACCCATGCAGTTGTTTCCTCCATTGACCTGCATGTATTCAGGGGGGCACACACAAGTGTAGTTTCCCTTTGTATTGTAGCAAGTGCCAGGTCCACAAATACCAATGTGAGCAGTGCATTCATCAATATCTAAAAAAACAAAATAATAACAATAAAATTCAGATTATCATTCAGTTGCCTTCACTTTCTGATCTCTTTGACATAAAGAAAAGCAGATACCTTCACAGACGCGTGTCTCTTCATTCAGATAGTATCCTAGTGGACACTCACACTGGAAGCTACCAAACGTGTTAATGCATTCTCCACCCTGGCAGAGACCTGGCAGCTCCATACACTCATCGATGTCTTTAAGATTGTCATATTAGAGAAATTACAGTTTTGTCACGTTACTCTTACCGGTCTGGTACATTGCATTTTCAAATATGGAGAAATTCTATGTTTTACCTTCCAAAAGAACAGTGATGGGGTTGGGCCTGAACCCCTCCCCTCCTGGACAGAGAGTCTTATACTCGGCTAGAGGGGAGAAAAAAAGAGTAAATTGCTATGATGTGAAAAACAAACAAAATAAAACATAATTAGAAGACATAGAATTGATTTTGTTTTGCTGATGCATACAGGAGTTAGATGCAGGGCAGACTTCACAAGGATTTCCCCAGAATCTTCCATCAGTGCAACAACAGGAAGCTCGCGTGACACCGACACCGATCTCCACACTGCAGGAGATTCCTCCGTCACCCCGGGGAGAGATGTCTAAGTAACAGCTACCAACACGGGTATCTGGCACGAATAAAGCCCAGCGTTACATGTTAAATATATTATAGACATATTAAAACTGCAAATAATAGAGCTCATAAATAAAATTTCTTCAAGTTTTATCATGTGTAGTTATGAGAGAGTGATATTTTGCACAAGCGCTGAATGAAAGCATAGACAACTTAACTATGGAGCAAGAAGAAAACTTCTCCCATAATTACTCTACACAGTTAAAATGTATGTTTTAATTTAATTCAATATATATTATTGTTCCCTTCATACATTAAAACTAGCTAACATTTTATGTTACAAAAAAATAAAAACTACAGCTCTCTTACTTTTTATTTTCAAGAAAAATTTTGTCTGATTCATCTCATGTGCATCGCCTACTTTGGAATTAACAGTTTTAATTTAAACATGTTAATCAGATAGAACACAACTTAATGTAAAACCTATGGTGCCATATGCTTTTGCTTCTTCGGATATGTAAACAGACGGCTCCTTGATACACTGGAGTACCAGCATCCCAGTAAGCATTCTCTAGGCGAAGCTCAGTTCAGAAAACTAGTTTAAAAACCACTAATTGTCTCAAGCATCCAGGTTTGAAAAAAAAATATATGGTAGAAGTGTTTTAACGCAAGTTCAACAACCAGCAGTTGTTTGCAGTAAACAAAATAAAACATATCACAACTAATACTACAAGTCAAGCAGAAAGGGTGGCTCTAAATGACTGCTGCAATCTCTGGAAGTAAGATAATGGAGTTGTTTAATAAACTGTTTTATCCCATTGGCAAATGATGGCAACTTATTTTGCTATATTTCATTTCATGCACTGAGGTTATTCCAATACTTGCTGAAATCCAGCATGCTGCTCACAAAATTGCAAGTTTCCAAGAATAGAGGAAGTACAAAAACCTCCAGAGCATTGCTGAGTGGCAATCATTGAGTATGGCCCTTTTTCTGCCACCAGGTGGCAGGCTTTATTCTTGTGTCTTATGCCTGAAACTGTATCTCTAGGAACACTGTAACATCCAACAACATGTCACCATCAACACTCCGGATATTGAAGGTGTTCTATCTTAGGGAACTAATGAAACCAAATATTGGTTGAATCATGTTTGCCTGTGAATACACCTGATTTGTAAATATAGAAAATATGAAACAAAAGTCAAAAGTTTGCTTAACTTTGAGATTAAATTAACCATTAAAAGAAAAGTTGAATGTCTATCAATATAATTTTAGTTTTATCTTCATATTTTTACTACTCTGTATCATTTATTTTTTCCCAAAAAATCATAATTTGCTATTCTGGTTGACAGACTTAAACTTCACCTATTCCTCATCATTTTGAAGAGTGTATTTGGGTGGTCATTGTTAAATCTTTTTATTTGCAGTCTGACTTGAGCGTTACTCACCAACACAGCCCACTCCTGTGGGGTTGAGTGTAAAGTCAGGCGGACAGTTACACAAGTAGCTCCCTTCTGTGTTCACACAGATTCCATTGAGGCAATTCACAGTGTCAGCACACTCGTTGATATCTGCAAGACACACAAAGAGCTCTCATCTCTGAAAGAAACATCAGCTTGGCAATATTGAGCATGCCAATAGTTTTACAATTCAGAAAATTATCTTTATAAATATATTGTCACAAAAACCTAATATTCCAACAGAAATTAGCTTTGGAGCACTGGCTGTTGGCATAGTAGTTTATTAAAATGAATCCTGCAGTCATTTTTTCAAAGCCACATGGATTTACTTTGATTATTTAAGCCTTAAACCTATTATAACAGACACAAATTAAACTCATTAAAAAACAAGTGTGTACTGTTCTTTAATAGTTACCAGTGCAGTTCCCTCCACTGCGGTCCAGTTCATAGCCTACGTCACAAACACAGCGGAACATTCCTGGGAGGTTCTCACAACTTCCAAACACACAGATGTTCTGGAAATTGCACTCATCGATATCTGTGGAAAAAGTAGGCAGGACGTGATTATATATGCTACACTACTGAAGAAAACAGAAAAAAGAAGAGAGCATTGCAGAATAGGTGTTGCACCTTCACAGGCCTTGCTGTCCTCTGTGGGAGTGAAGCCCATCTCACACTCGCAGCGGTAGCCTCCAGGGGCATTCAGACACTGTCCGTTTTCACACAGGTTGACATTGTCTGCGCATTCATCCATGTCTTACAAGAAGTCAAACAAATGCAATATTAGATAATAAATCACACCCGACGAAATCTGCAGAAATATGATTCAATCATAGAACAAAAGATACCAATTATTGGAACCGTACTGTATCTCATCACTTTAAAAAAAAAAAAAAAAGTTTTCCCTTAACTCAAAATAATTTAGAATTGATTGTTTGCATCTACGTTTACAATAAACAAGCAATTTTTAATGACAGAAATAAGGTATTTTTTTGTTTAAGAGGAAGGGGATGTGATATAAAGAATATTTTACCATACCTACTATCTAATGGTCATTTACCATCAAAGCAGTTTACTTACCCGAGCACGAAAAGCCGTCTCCATTGAAGCCATCTTTGCATGTACACCTATATGATCCCGGTGTGTTCACACAGTCTGCATTAAGGTGGCAACTATGGTCCTCTGAGGCGCATTCATCATAATCTAAAGGGGAAAAATTTAAAGGTTACAAAAACACACTTCACTATAGTGCACAAACAAAGATTTAGACTAAATTAGTCAAATAAGTAATTCTAAATTATTATTGGGGAAATTAATTATCTGATCTACCAACTTAAATGAGGACAAAGATGATCTGATCCCCTACTCACCCACACATTTGATGCCGTCTCCCACCCAGCCATCTCTACAGCGACACTTGAAACTTCCTGGCACATTAATGCAGGCGGCATGCATGTCACAGTTGTGAGCTCCGATCTCACACTCATCAATATCTGGAAAGGAGGAAACAGCATGAGGAGGAAAGCAGTTTTAAAGCTGAGGTTGCAAAACAAACCTTTAATCCAATGTAACTTAAAAAATAAAAAAATAAAAAACTATCACTGCGCTCTCATCAGTACAAAGTAGATTTGAAGTTTCTGAAGGTGTCAGCAAAAGTATCTGAAGACGGAGGTACATCGGTAATATCAATAAATGAGAAGCACTACAGGATTCGATTACATCTCACAAATTATGTTATATAAACACAAAACCACATGCACTACCCACCTGGGTGTCACATACAGATATCTTTTCTATTTTATAGTGTTAGAATCTTTTACATTACAAAAATATGAACAAAAACAGTTCTGATTTGTTATTTTTAATTATGTGTGATTCATTTATATAGTATTAGCGTTTTACTTTTACACAAAACAATAGCTTTTTTGTAAAAGTAAAACCTACTCTTAGTTTATGGAAGTAATAGACATGCTTTTACAGACTCATCTTCAATTTTTCAATCATGAGAATTGTTATCCTGTTCAAGACGCATGAATTCAGCGGTGTCTCTTACTCCATGAAATTCCCATTCATTTTTCACCTCAAACACAACTAAGGAGATCTTTTTAGGTTTATGTTGAAGATAAAGATAATTCTAATCTACTGTCCATAAAAATGAGCCACTGGTGCCATAAAAACAAAACAAAAAAAAATAAATAAAACATCTGCATAACCTAACTGTGATTAGGAGCATAATCTGCATCTTTCTTGAACTGCTGCAGAACTCCAGTCCAGGGCTTACAGGCCATGCTTTAAAAGCCATTGATTTATAGTTATAATACTGAAATGCTAACACACTTTTGCTATTTAACCAAATTTAGAAGATCAATTTTAAACAACAAATAAACAAACATAAATATGCACAGGTATAAATAAAAATGGTATTAATATCCAGATGATGATCTTTTTGATACATATAAATGAATATAATAGAGCTAGAATAAAGATGAAAATTGAACGATTTCAACACTTGGATTAAGACCTTAACTGATACTTCCTCTCTGCTGATGTGTATCCATGTTTTTACCTGTGCAGCCTGTGGATCCCTTTTTGACAAAGTATCCCAGCTCACAGTGGCAGATGAAGGAGCCCTTAGTGTTCTCACAGTTACCATGGAGACAGATGTTTGGGTTTAAATCACATTCGTCCACATCTGGGCAGACAGGGCGAGACAAAGATTGGTTACACAAGCTTAGTTTCATGAATACAGCTTAGGGTGATATAAAGTAAGTCTGACAGAGATAGTCCCACAGAAAACTACACAGTCATTACATGTCTGAATCTATATGAAAACAAATAAAGGGTTTGAGAAAAAAATTAAGTATAGTATTATGCCCTCACCGGTACAGGTCCTCATGTCCATGGAAGCCATGAAACCATCAAAGCACAGACAGCGATATTCCCCAGGAATATTGGTGCATTGGCCTCCATCACACACATCTGGAGTCTCTTCACACTCATCAATATCTACCAAACAGCAAGGATATTTTAATTATTTAACACATAATCACACTGTAGCCAAATATTCCTCATATAATGAACAAGTGAAGCATATCTAGTGTTTTATTACCTGCACAAGTCCTGAGGTCAGGCATCAGGGCATATCCCTCACCACAGCTGCACTCATAACTACCCTCAGAGTTGGTACAGTGGGTCTCACATCCACCATTCATAATGGTGCACTCGTCAATATCTGTGAGAAATTACCGTTATGAACGAGACGGACATTCACATCTCAGTCTCAAAGCTGAGACTGAAAATAACAAACAAAATGCAAAAAGTAGAATTTATTTCAGCTTCTATCAAAAAGCTGTGTAATATCAGATGAAGTCTTCTATTTACCAACGCAGCCCTGTCTGTCAGGTGTGGCCTGATATCCCATGTTACAGGAGCACTGATAGGTCCCAGGCATGTTGACACACTCGCCATTTCTGCACAAGTTGTCACTCAGCTGGCATTCATTCATGTCTGCATAGGAAGCAAGTGAGAATATTCAAATTAAAGCATTTAACACTTAAAAAAGGTGTTTGCAATAATTTCTTAAGCTTTAGCAATTCAGGCATTGAGTACTTTGCAATTAATTTATCCTTAGTGGATCTATACCAATTTTCACCATAATATCTCATAAATTTCATTGAAAGTTAATTAGTTCAAATTAAAGAGGGAAGCCAATCTGTTCTCTAGATTTATTGCACAGGAGAATCTAACATGTATTAAGTTATTTAATAATTTTACCTTACAGCTTATTAAAACATAAAAGATCAGTTTGTCTAAACATTTAATTTTTGCTTAGGACCAGTGAAAATATTATTAAGAATAATGAAATGTTATAATATAGCCGTGTTGGATAACGTACTCGACAAAAAAATGAAAACGTACTACTGTACTTCCCAGCAAAAGCTTTCAAGCATATGGATTAAAATTGATGCAGTGTGGATATTTTTGACAGGGAAATGATTACCTGTTAGAGCCAAAGCAACCAAAAAAATAAGACATTTGAAAATTAAAGGATAAGAAATGAAAAAACAAGCAATTTTATTTAAAAACATTTAAGAAAAACATCTGTTTTGGAGAATTTATCTCTCGGGATCAACAAGGATAAAAAAACTACTAATGAGAAAACTCAATACTTTCTGTTCAGTTTGTTTCTTCATCTCATTCTATTGTAAACCAGTGCTTATAAGGCTGGTGAGAAAAACAGTATACTGTAAATCTGAATGGATTGTGGTTGAGCTGCCCTAAAACCCTTTTTAAAATTTGGAACATGCTCTTCTCTGAGGTCCAGTTGCTTCCTAAAGAAAAACCCAAAGCAGTGTCCAGCCCACAGTTAACCGGTTGTCCTCAAACCTAAAAGCAGAGCCACAGGCTGATTATCTTTATGCTGGTTATCCAGTCCATCCTTTAATAAGGACTAACTTTTTGCATGTAAATCCTTTTTTTTTTTACTTGCCTTATATAACATAAAAAATATTGAAAACAACAAATCTGGTTTTCTTTAGTTATGTGCCATAACAATCAACATCGTTTACTAAGAATATTTTTTAGTGCATATCTGCTTACCTTCACAAACCGATGCATCACTGCTGAGCAAATATCCTGTGGGACATTCACACTCAAAGCTTCCATCTGTGTTCATGCAGGTTCCTCCATGGCACAACAGGGGGTTCCTCTCACATTCATCGATGTCTGTCATTGATTAAAAAACAGCCATAAAAACGATTTCAAAAGTGATACAAATAGAAAAAAAAGGCTCAGACAGTATCCTCTCTAGTTCAAACTTACCCATGCAGTTTTTCATCATCATGAAGCCACTTTCGTAGCCTTCAAAGCACTCGCACTCAAAGCTGCCGGGTGTGTTGACACATGTACCATGACCACACAGGTCGGGGGAGATTCGACACTCATCAATATCTAAAAGTAAGGCACACAGCAGAAAACGCAGACATTTTTTTTTTTTTTTTTATTTAATGGGATCATTTTATTCACCTCACATCTCATTCAGAGCTGCAGCCACCCAGTTCAAACCTGTGCAGTTCCTCTCCTCAGCTGTGAGAGCAAAGCCGTTGTTGCACCGACACTTGAAACTGCCAATTGTGTTTCTGCAGGTTCCATAAGTACACAGCCCCTGGAAGACCTTACATTCATTCACATCTGTAGAGAACACATTAAAAAAGAGATTTATAACTCATTTACAGCGCTTTAATGTATACAGTCGATTTCTACAACATCCCACAGTAGCCCGGTTCATCTACAAATTTTTATGTACCTTTGTAAAAGGTCCTGCCGGTGAGAATATCTCCTCTATTAGCGAAGCCCCGCCCCCTGGGGCAGATGGTATTGAACTCAGGCGTTCCCTCTTTAGGACATTCCTCACAATCGATCCCCCAAGCAGCTCCCACGGAGCAGCAGCACATGTCCACACGATACCTTCCTGGTAGTGGCTCACCGCACTCATCCTCGTGCCATTTCTTATAGCACTGTTCACTGCGCATGTCTGGACAGAGTTCACAAAAATAATGAGGATTTCTGCATTTAGGTTTAAACTACCTCCGGTTTTATCATCTAAGTTCCTCTTACCCACACATGTGCGACCACTGCTGTCCAAAGTCAGGCCTGCAGCACACTCGCAGCGGAATGAGCCCTGAGTGTTCACACACCGTCCATTCGTACACACTCCGGGGAACACTTCACACTCGTTAATGTCTGCAGAGAGAAACGTTTGGAAATCACATTTACTTCTGAAACGAATGCATAAAAATCTATATACTTAATGCTACAAAACCCCCTTGGGGACCATTTCTCATTTAAAAAAAGACTTGCTCAGAACCATCATGGGCGACTGAAGGGGCCACTAGGTCATCACATCCCATAGCGATATGAAATACACCTACCTTCACAGACAAGGCCTTTCATGCGAGCAAATCCTCGAGAGCAAGCGGTGTCTAGGGAAAAAAAACATGCGTTATTTTAGTATTTACTGTATCCAGAATATATAAATATCTCTTATTTAAATTGTTACAATATTTACAGTACTAGATACTGCTTTATGTAAAGACTCTGTGTGTATTTGTGTGTAAAAATTTCAACTTACCCCTAAAATAAACTTAGGAAATACCCCTAGACCTCTAATAGTAGTGTCTACATGTGTTATTATTTGAAAAAATCACAACACATTTGTGTTGTCCTTCTTTGTGTATAAAATCGCCTGTTTGTTGCCGCCCTGAGTTTAAAAAGGGTTGACTGCATCTGATTTTTTCCAGGGGCTTAGCCTGGGATGTGACCTCACCAACAGAGAGCTGACATTAGCTGCTCTCTGCTAACTCACCCCTCCTACACAATAAATGACTTTCTTATAAAGAAAAAATGAGAAAAAAAAAGCAATATTGTCCTGAATATAAAAAAGTTAAATGCATTGAAACTGGGTTGAATTATCTGTCCAGTTCAGTATAATGATTTGTTTTTCAAGAAATATGTCTGTTTTGTAAATTAATATTTTTTCAGACGTGAACAGATTGTGCTCTTTGAAATTTGTTTCAATTAGCAAGGGTTAGTATGTAAGGTCAAGCTAATCATTTAGATATCAGCAGGAAATGGTCTTTCTTAGTGATGGAAAACAAGGGAGCCTTTGTGAATATAACAGCTGTGAATATTTTTCTTCTGGGATGATGTAAGAGCACTCATAGCATAGATCTGAGAATAAATATCTTTAGGATTTGTTCCTGTAAAATTGTTTACTGCAATTTTACTTAAAAGCAATTTTTAAAAAGTTACATGAAATATTACATTTTAAAAACTAATACTTATCATTGCAATATCAGTATGTGGATATATGGATGCAATATTTGGTTGGATATACGGTAACCTTTTATGTAATGCAGTCATTCTCAGCCAATGTAGAGAGTTGGGATATTGTGTAATATAACTTCCAAAAACGCTAAAAAACAATCCACTGGACTTTGTTTCCAAGTTTGAAGACATTTTGCTTCCCATCCAGGAGGTTTTTTTTCAATTCAAAATGACATAAATAGTGTTGAGTTTAAGGCTTTTTAGAGTGGACCAAAAACAAAGCCTTGTTTTGGCTTAGAAAACATGCAAATTTAACTGGACGAATAGGTCTGGCTCTTAGGAATGGAGAGTCGTTTGGGTTCTTTGGTAGCCGTCATTACCTGATACCTGTCTATGTCTCTGAAAGGGGGGTCGTTAGGGGGAATTGCTGGCCTGGCTGAACAAGCTAGATGTTCTGTTCCCCTGGAAGGGGGTTAGGGGTTGCGGTGATAGTGGGAAAGGATGAACTCTATCGCTGCATTTTAGGTTTTAGAAAGCTGAAACCTGAGTCGTCCTCTTTCTAAGTTTGCTTTTTATTTCTTCCCATAGATGGTTTCCTTTACGCCCCTCTCAAACCACCTGTCTTCTTTGTCCAGAATGTGAACATTCTGGCCCTCAAAAGCTATTTCTGACGTTTTGAATTGAAAAAGTTTCCTGGATGGGAAGCAAAACATCTTCAAACTTGGAAACAAAGTCCACTGGATTATTTTTTTTTCTTTTTTGGACTGACTATGACCTGGATGACTGGGAATCTTCACCATCATGTGTAATATAAAGAAAAGTGTCCAAAAAAATAAGAGTTAATCTTTCAGATTTCTTTCTTGCAAATGTCATTACATAACAACTAAAAAATCATTTATGAGGAAATGTTTTATGAATAAATAAACAAACCAATCTCGCAGGGTTCACAGGGGCTGCCCCAGGCTGCTCCCAGGGTGGAGCAGCACTCAGACTTCAGTGTGGCTCCGTTGATGTTCACCTCACAGCGGTTGTCTTGAATGGTGAGCCAGCAAGTGCTCTTCATGCTGTCTGTGGAGCCACAGAACAAGAGAGAAAACGTGATTTAAAGTGTCCTGGGGTGGGTTTCAGGGAAACAAACTACTCTGTTTACACTTAGTATTTCCCAACCAAAAGGCTTAAACAACAGGCTAACAAATGTGGTGAGCACATTTCAGATATAAAACATTTGCCAGGTGATTTTCTTCCTATGTTTGTTGAAAACAAAATGTAAACCAGCCAGACCTGCTGATCAAAACAGTTCCCTGGTACATTAACATTATCACATAAACTTCAGTCGTATCACGTTAAACTCTTTAATCATTCTGTCTGAGGCTAAAGGTTAAGTTATGTAAATGCCTTGAATCAGTTTGGAAAAAAGTATATTGTGATATGAAACACTTCCAAATTTTGAGGCAAGCAAATAAACGCAAACAGTCAGAAAGATACAGTCTATAAAGATTAGTTTTTTCATTCCATAGGTCTATGCTTAGTTCTTAAGGGGAATTCAAAATCAACTAAAACCAAAAATTTGCAGATCAAAGACTTTGAAAATCAATACTCTGGAATTACAAACACCAAGATTTCTTCTTTAGCTCTTCTCTTGTCATTTCATACACACTTTGCATGTGTTCAACAGTGCTGATCATAAAAAAGTGTCACAAAAAAAGTGTCTTACCAACGCAGATGGTGTTTGTAGAGTCCAGTTTGCTGCCATGGGCGCACTCGCAGTTAAAAGACCCGGCAACATTGCGACATAGTCCATTGATGCATGGGCTGGACTCACACTCATTTATATCTAAGACATGCAGAGACAAACACTTAAAATTGCTGATTCATGTTTCACGTCTCAAATAACCAAACACATCCAGTATCAAAACCAGCAGCGACTTATTTCCATAAATAGATAAAAGCAGATAGGGAAACTAATTAATAAGACTTTATGTGAGTGAGAGCTTACCCTCGCACGTCTCAGAATCAGGTTTGAAGACAAATCCTGTAGGACAGGAGCATGTGTAGGACCCTGGTGTATTTCTGCACAGTCCATTGTCACAGAGCAGTCGGTTCACTAGACACTCATTAATGTCTACCAAAAAAAGAAAAAAATAACTTTTAACATCATTGTGAGTTTCTTTGCATTGTTTTTCTATAATCATCACCTTCTTTCATCACTATAAACTCATAACAGCACAGGTACAAATTTGGATCGAGGTTATAGTGGATTTTTGCGAATTTTTGAAAAGACTCCCCTCCGCATCTAAAAATAAAAAAAAACGAACAACCTTGTACCTGTTCCTGAGGGGGAAACGCCTATTAAACACATGCAAGAGCACGCACAACGCCATTTCTCCTCGTGCACGCTCTGTTTAAAGTTGCTGTTTGCATCACTCATACAAGCTTACTTTCCAAAAGTAGATTTGCATTTTTTCCACTACTGTATGTCAGAAAGTAAGTGAAAATGGGGACGAGCACGTAGAGCGGCTTTACATAAACATATCACCAGAATGATTGACAATTAGGAGGACCACTTATTTTGATGATCAACCCGGAAAAAGAACATCCTCCATTATACCTTTAAGCCTTAGAACAACTCTCTTTATTTAAACTAGTATAATGAGTAATTTTAAAAATAATAGAAATCTAATCTTTATTTAAGATAATTTTTAACATAGAAAAAAAAAAGTACACCATATCAAGAAATATAATTACCTGGCCATCAGTGGCCATCAAAAATCTACTCACCAACGCAGGTCTTTCCACTTGTGTCAGACTCATAGCCAATGTCGCAGATGCAGCGGTAACTTCCTCTGAGGTTCTCACAAACACCGTTCTGGCAGATGTCTGGGTCCAAGGCGCACTCATTGATGTCTAAGAGATCATCAAATGAAACCCAAATGATGTTGGATATAAACATGAATGAAGTAAGAATTTTTCTAAAGAAAATTACTCACCTCTTCCATCAGTGGTAATACCAATACCCCCGCTGCATACAGCCTGAAACTCAGCTGAACAACACAAATGAAACAGCAAACACTTTAAATACGATTCTTCTTTACTGCATTTTATTTTGACTTAAAGTTACTACCTGAGTTTCTAGATGGGCAGGGTTGGCAGGGCTCTCCAAAGCCATGCTCGGGGTTAGCACAGCAGCACTCAGACTTGGTCACTGCTCCTGGAAAGGGACGTGAGCATGTACCCATTTTTATAGTGCCATAGCAGGTGGTCCTCATGTGTGTGTCCACACACACTCTTCCATCGACGTCAACGGCCAGGCCTGGTGGGCATTCGCAGCGGAAGGACCCTTCACTGTTGATGCAGCGACCGTTCATACATATGCCAGGAGTCAGACACTCGTCAATGTCTGATAGAGAGAGGGTGTATGAGCAAACCAGAACATCAGACATTAAAATCCCAAGTATTTACTATTGTTGTTTGTTTTGTTTTTTTTGTCTGCTCTTTATGTTTTATTTTTTGCTTACATCCCCATTAAAAGCACTGGCCCCACCATACCCATTGGTCTAAAACTGACTGAAAATTCATCTTAATATGTTTATTTGTTGCTGTGACTACTCTGGACAAATACAGTGAAATGGCAGCTACTTTCAAAGCTTCCAAAGCAAATTTTATATGATTAAATTGTTAATTTAACAATTTCTTCTAAAACAAAAGACAATTAAATGACACCACTGGTATTGGATTAACATTATTTCAGGATAACCCTTTTAAAATCTTTGTGCTTAATTTATACTTGCTAAGTCATACCAATGCAATACCGGCCACTGGTTGCTAAAGAGAAGCCAGGCTTGCAGATGCATTTGAAGCTGCCATCCTCGTTGATGCACATGCCATTGAGACACATGTTGGTAGTGGCACACTCGTCGTGATCTGGCAAAAACCAAGAAACGTTTGATGATTTTCATGAAGCTTTTATGTAAAGTGCAGCATTGTTTTTGCATCCGCTCTCGCTCACCAACACAGTTTTTCCCATCTGGAGAGAGCTCAAAGCCAGCATTGCAGATACATTGGAAGCTGCCCTCCGTGTTGACACAGCGGCCATTGCGACACATCACTCCGTTTACAATACACTCGTCAATATCTGCAAAGAGGTGAGAATGTCTGTTATTTGCTTTTATTTAATATTTGCATTCTAGCATGATCATTTAGTGGCCGTTGACTGCCTTCATAGATGTACCGATGCAGGCCTGTTTGGTAGGGGTGCCCTGGTATCCCTCATGACACTTGCAGTGGTATGACCCAGGTGTGTTGACACAGTCTCCATTGGTGCATGGCTTATTCCGACACTCATCCTCATCTAAAGATGTATGTTAGAAAATAGAAAGAAAATCAAAGGAGGTTCATCAAATTCCTTGAACTTACAGGAGATGGCACTGTGGTGCATCAAATAAACTTATGACTCTCACTGACTGCATTATGTTTGGTTTTATATTTCAGTTCAAACTGCATGGGTATGCTTCTCACCAATGCACTCCCCCCGAACATCCTGCTTGTATCCCATGTTACACTCGCAGCGATAGCTCCCAGGTGTTGGGTTGCAGCGTCCATTTAAACAAAGATTGGTAAAATGTTGGCAAAAATCAATGCTGTCATTCACAGAAACAGAGCCTTAGAAAACACAACAGAAAACAAAACAAAAATTATTTAAGTACAGATAATGAAGCTTTATTAGAGGATACAAAGGATGGGGATAAAACACTTTCTGTTACTGGTTTTATTAAACATACTTATAGGTCCTCCATTGCCACCAAAAGTCCCTCCATTATCGCCAAAGGTGTCCCCTCCTCCATTGATATTTGGCCTACCATTCCCATTTCCATTAGGTATACTGGGAGGCTTAAATCCAAAGTTTCCATTGTGGCTGGGGAAGTATCCGTTGGGGAAGGGGTGAGGGAGTCCTTGTGGAACTCCCACAATGCACAGACGCCTGAACTCATCTTATAGGGAAAGAGACAAAAAAAAAGGATAGAGTTTGCTTTCAGCAGTTTGCTTCAACATTCATGCATAAAACAAACCGGTTCAACTTGAGGTTGAGGTAACTCCACTGAGGGGGCTCCAACTGCCATTAAAACAAGATTCAACCATTATTTCAGATAATTTATACAGAAGGCAACATTTTCTTTCTTACGTCTATCCAGAACAGTTTGCTGTGTGGGAAATTTGGCTGTATAAAGTTAAAAATCATATCCACTTTCTTCACTGGCTTCAGTTGATAACAATGTGAAATCGGGAAAAAACTACCGGTATCATGGAAGCAGACCGGGAGGTTTGGACTGTCTGTCTATAGCCTTGCCTCTGCTAGGATTTACTTAAGAATTGTTAATGTTCTTTGCTCTGTGTATGGTTTATGCTCACCGGAACCTCTGACAGGACACATCTCTGGGATCTGGCTCAAAGCCCAGCAGCGTCCTGTTTCACAGCAACACTGCATTTTTGTGTACTGGCCATTTAGCTCTGCTGCACAGCGACCATTGGCAAGGGCAGAGAAACAGGTGCCCACACGCTGATCTGGGAACAGAGGGAAGAAAATAAACAGCAAAATTTAAAAACAGATGATAAGATAATCTAGCATATGAAACAAAAATTTAAAGAGATAAATCAAATTAGGCTTGCAACGAGTGAACACATTTTTCTTTTTGTGGTATCTATGCTTTTGTGGCAGAAAAATTGTACAGTACCCTGAACAAACCATGCGCACTATGAAACATAGTGGTAGAAGCATTATGCTGTGGGGATGTTTTTGTTAAGCAGGGGCAGAAAAGCCTGTTTCAGTTGACGGAAAAATATATCGAGGCATGTTTATGTGTGAGAACAACCAAAAGTACAGATTAAAACCAAAACCTGAACAAAAATAAAACATTTTTTAAAGAAAAAAAAAAAAAAAAAAGCAACTCTTAAATCCTCAGTTTTGCTTTGAATTCACAAGTATTTGCTCTTTGGTGTTTCCTACCATATATGATCACATAGTTTTGTAGTTTATCAAATATGTCTTTAGTTATGAACTAGTTTGCAACATACTGTATTGTTGTGATTGTTGGGTTACATTCATTTACGCACCTAAAACAGAGCCTACTCTATAAAACTCTTAAAAGCTCTTTGACTTGCTTGCCCTATCCATGGTCCCCACGGAGGAAGCCTTTTTATAGAATCTCAACAGCAAGGGTACTTAGGGCCTCACCTAAATACCAACATCTAGAGGGCCCCCAAAAAGGGTTCGTATTTGTTACGCTTTTCTAGGTCAGGGTCAGTGGGCTCAAGAGAGGGAGCTGGTGCTCAGCAATATTAGAAAATTAAGTTGCAGTTGGGCATAACCTTACAATTATAGAAAACACAAAAACATAGAAGTAGGTCATCTTTGAGCACAACCTGAAAACCGAAAGAAAGGTTCACGGAGCAGAAGAAAAAATACTAAGAAAAGTGAATGACAGGAGGGAGGGGCGCAAGTCGATTAACCCACTAATAACCCAGCAGTCTGGAATTAATCAGTTCCATGTGGAGCAATTCCTGCCAATTAGATTAAACAGAAGGGGCTGTGCTATGTCTGGGAGCTTATATAGAACTGTGCACACACATGTACAGGCAAACCTACGTATAATGGTGCATTCCCCATATGCATCCACCAGCATGTACGCAAACCACAGAAAGTCCTGTTAGAATGACGGAGCAGTAAGCATAGCTAAGGATAGCTGGAACAGAGTGGGTGAATTTATATTCAGTTGGGTTTTTGTCATGATGACGATGACTTAAATTAAATCCATTTGAGCAGAGAGGTACTGTAAAGGAAGATTACAGTTTAATTTGCTTATACGGTCGGTTTTTCTTTTTGCCTTTCCTTAGTTGCCCACATGTTAGTTATCCATGAAATACAGAAGAGGGAGAGAAAAAAAAGAGGAAGTGAGCAAATAAAGGGCAGAAACAAAAAATGAGCTCAGTGGGAGATTGCTTAAAGCTCTTAGCTTTGGAGACTAAATGGAACACAAAGGGAGATGGAAATTAGCTCATATCCAAAATATACAACAGCACTCTATTGTAAATCACTTGAGGTGTTTAGCTCGGTGATAATTTGATTACAAATAACAAAGACTTGACCAGGCTTTTCTACTGTTTAAATCAAAGCAGACACTCTTGTTGTGTCATCTTTTCTTTTTCTTTCTCTTTTTCTTTTTCTTTTTTTTAGAAAAAAATAACAAGAACATTGTGTCTCTTGTTAAGAAGCTGTCTCCAACTAATTCCAAGCTGCCAAAAAGGACGAACCCAGCTGCCAGTTAAAGTTCATGTTTCCAGTAATACTTCATAGCTTGTTGACACGGAAAGTTCAAGATCCGATATTAGAATGGTTGATGAGCAACGTTTGGGTAAACAGGGAAATAGCTGGGTTTTATTGACACACGCCTTATTGTGCAAAGTTATGCATGAACCAAGCAAGCCTAATCCAGATAGATTGTTGAGCACTTTGAGATTTTTGCTGAACAAATATAGATGAACCATATGTCGAATTGAAATTTAGGATACATTTTAACATAGAAATTGTACAATGTTACCTGCAATTCAAACTTTCATAAAGAAAATCTGCTTTTTTTTTTAGTTTTTTTGTTTGTTTGTTTAACACGTTATAATGGTTGCATTTACAGCCACAGAGATGTGGTAAAAAACACACTTAATGTAATTTAGTTTTTTTTCATATAGGGTTTCATTTGCAGAGCAATCTTATTATAATTATAAAATAATTAATATATTCATCACCATTACAATGTATTCGTTTTACGAAGCAGGCTTACCAATTTTACATATTCAGTCAAGCTAATAAATGTTAGAATGGCCAGTTAAAATGTGTAAACAGTTCTATATATATAAAACTTGATTCTTACTAGTATAATTTTTTTTTTTACTTTCTAAAATGCAGTTTCTGCCACAAAAATGTAATTTAGAAAGTATATTATTATATTATTACAGTGATCTACAAATGGAACAACAGAGAGAAGAGTGCTTTGAATAAATGTAAAATTGGCCTACTTCTTATAAACTTACACATTAACCAGAGCAACAATCTTCTCCTTTGCCATCTTCCTCTCCTTTGTAGATTTAGCAATGTTTCTCTGTCTTCTAAATTCTCTTTTTTAATTTTATGCATTTCTGCATTAAAATCTCTAGTTCCAGTGGGGTGAAATATACATTTACTTTTGCCTGTTGTCATGGTGACTCGTCGAATTGAGTTGTCCACTGATAACGGCTTTTCATACTTGTTGGGCATGTTCTTAACTCTATGTGGATCTAGTTAAAATTGATACAACTAATTGATGGCAGCCGTTGTGAAACCGAACACTCAGAGTTCCCAACTTTAGGATAGATTAATTTAGAGTTGCGGATTTGAATCTGAATTTGTTAAACCTGCTTCATGAAACAGACCCCAGCAGGTGGCCAAAGGGCTGAGTCGATTTGGACCATACCACATGAATACAAACCCTGTTTTCTAACATAAACCTGTGCCTGACTGTCCTTACTGCTCGGTCCATCACACACTTCAAAGGGACCTTTGTGGACAATAGATCAAATCGAATAGCTATAATCTTCAGGAATATGTGGAGCATAGGACCTCCTAAGGTGATATGCTGATGGGTCTGCATCACCGTCTGCAAGCTGGAAATGAAGATAATCTCTAAGTGCCCAAGAGGTATCCTGATAAGATGACAGAACCACCTCAGCGGAAGCAACGACTGTACTACCAGTATATCGCCGCATCTTTAACCTTAGCAAGGAATATCTCAGAGGCTTCTATCCAGGATACTCTCCTTTAGGTTATGCTCCCTAGGTAATAGCCTTCAGTGAGTATTAACACAAATACAGCATGGAAAAACAAAAACAAAGGTTTTGGGTTCCATGAATTATCTGTTTTAATCTAATCTTGACTGTGTGAAATAAACTGGGTATGTTTAACTATAGGTTCCATAATGGAGGAGAACTGCAGAAATATATTAGTACCTGGTAGTGTTTCATAGGGGAGCACTAACGTTAGAGTAGATTACTGCAGTCAAAGCCATACAGTACATGTAAGTGTGTTTGCACATGGTGACCACAGGTCTGCTCATCAAGACTCTATTCTCAGTAAACGGCTGTAAAGGAGAAATTCCAGCCACATGTGTAGCATTTAGCTGGAAATATGCAAGAAAAGAAAAAGAGTAATTTGATGGGTGACTCACCCACACATCTGGAGCCATCTGTGCTGGTGATGTAGCCTCGTGGACAGTTGCAGACATAGCTACCAGCAGTGTTGGTGCATTCTCCTCCATCACACACCCCAGGAATGGTGCTGCATTCATCAATATCTGAAATTGTAAACAGTTTGGTTATTCTATTACAGCCAAAGAGAAGTTAAATTAAAAAGGGAAGGTAGCACTCCAACAAAACCAGGAAAAAAAAAAGATTGTTACTAAGATAATAAACCACTGTATGGTTTAGTTCAAACATTTTTTTATCATGCTGTTCCTATTCTTAAAGTATCTTTGATGTGCCAGTGCAAGCGGAGTTTTCTCTCTTTTGCCATATGAAGCTCAGGGTAACACATTTTTTCCCTCTTCCATGCATTCCTGAGCACTGCCGAACAGATGGCTAGAAGCAAGTCACAAATATTTTCCTCAGAAACCAGGAAAAAGTGTCTGTTTGCAAATGGTTCAGCCATCCGTCACTGTTTATGAGATGGCAAGCAGAGAGCTGGCAGCAGCATGACTAGGCTCTGCCTCAGCATCTAACTTCACTAAACAACCAGCCAACATTATCGATTTATTCTAACCTTGTTAATGCATTAAGAGCAGAATAATCAAGAGAGACAATAACCTATGTATTATGTTCATAGAAAAACCTGCAATTAATGTTAGTTAGAAACTTAAATCTGTATTTTTGCAGCATTAATATTATACATTTACCGTCATATATATTGTGCATGCTCCAAAAATATATATGAATATAAAAAACATGAAGCAGTAAAACTGTGTTTTTATCCTACCGTTCAAATCCTGAATTGGAAAATTCCAAGTAAGTCATATCGTTAAACACATGTTGTTTGTGACATTTGATCACACTGGCATGAGTTTCTAGACATTCCAAAAAAAACATGCACAACAGAAAACTTAAAACAGGAAAATAAGTCTTAGCTGTTAACTTTGCCTTAGTTAATTACCATACAACAATCTAGGAGATACAATGCCAAAAAGACTCCAGCATAAGATTTAAGATACTTAACCGAATATCATATTAGAGGAAAAAAACTTAGGAAAATTTGCAGGTATCCTTATTCAAAATACAAACAATCAGAGAAGCATTAGTGCATAAGGTATCTCTGATCAGACCCACGTAATTTAAGGCTGCTTGATGCATTTACGTACCAGGTCGAAATGGTGCCCTGAGACGCAACCTCTGCAGCTTTTTACTCCTCGAATTAAAAAGATCCACGTCACCTAATATACTTCTAATATACAGATTGAGCCTTGGGGGGCATGAACGGCACAGAGCTTACAACACACAACATGTAGATGTTAAACACACAGCTGTTTCTATCATTTTTAAACCATCGCTACGTCATCAATGGGTGACAGCATATTATTTTTCAATAGTTTATCACAATCTGTTGATGGTAGAGATTATTATTGGCCATATCGTCAGATGACACTAGGTGTTTCTATTTGCAAACACCCGCCAGCAGGAGCTGTTGCCCGTCCACCATGTTTTTATTGTGAGGTTACAAATTTTCTTGGGTGGACACTGCAGGGAGAGGCGTAGGTGCTAAAATGACAATTTTGCCATTTGGACATCGCAGACGTGTCGAACATAAACCAGACGTAAATCAAATGCTGTGAGTATTACTGTAAAATGTGATGACAAACTTAGTAAAATTGTTATACCAGAGAAAAGGTATAAGATATGCAATACTGGCAAATTTCAACATAATGGAGAAATTGTGTTAAATCTAAAGAATTAAACATCCCTTATGTGATGTAAACATACCAGAGGGTCTTCATGCAAAGACTTTGGCTGGGGCCCACTCAAAAAGCCCCTCACTGTGTGAGGGGCTTTTTGATGACATGGGGTTATATTTTTCTGAGAGACGGTTTTCAGGGAAGTGTAATGTTTCAAGTTTCCCCAAAGTGCAGAATTTATACAATGTGCCTTGTGTAACTGCACTGAGCCACTGCTTAACAAAATTACAGCACTGAACCTAAGGTAATACAGGTGAAGGCGTCTCCTGTGAGCTGAGCTTGAAAAAAGTAGTTAGTTGTCCATCCCAGTTTAAGTACGAAATACATAATGTAAGGCTGCCATGTGTCCGCATCCAGTATGCACTAATGGCTGTCAGGCCCGTCACTCTGACAGCAGTGACAGAAGCCAAATAAACCCCGCAGCAGCAACAGCGCACCAGGATTACGTCATGGGAAAGCTGCACTTCTGTCATCAGCATACATTTCTAAATGGACTTATTGTTGCTGCATAAAGGTATATATATATATATATATATATATATATATATATA